CAAAGGCAGACATACTATCTGCCTCATCACGGAGTACTGAGGCCAGACAGCACCACCACAAAATTGAGAGTGGTGTTTGACGCATCTCATCGAAGCTCATCAAGAGTATCATTGAATGACATACTTCATCCAGGACCGAAACTACAAATTGACAGCTCTGACGTACTCATCTGGCTGCATCGACATCGTTTGGTATTTGGAACGGATATTGTGAAAATGTTTCGCCAAATCCGTGTTCATCAAGACGACTGGGACTATCAACGAATCTTTTGGAAAGACAACGACGGTCAACTCATCGAATACCAACTGACGACAGTCACTTACGGTACCAGCTGCGCACCTTGACTCTCTCTACGGGAGCTGAAGCAGTTGGCCATCGATGAAGGTCATCGATTTCCTTTGGCCTTACCGACATTCACCAATGGAAGATATGTCGACGACATATACGGAGGTGCAGAAACAGAACATCAACTGGAGGAAATCATCAAGCAACTCATCGATCTCTGCATGGCGGGCGGCATGCCGTTGCAGAAGTGGTGCAGTAATGTACCAAAAGTACTGGAACGACTCGGATTATCATCAGGATCAGCTCCAATCATCGAATTCGAGGAATAAACAGTGAAAGTGTTGGGACTTTGCTGGCAACCCAACTCTGACACTTTTCACTACAAGGCTAAGAACTTCAACGGAGACACCATCTCCAAGCGTGTAATTTTGTCCGAAATTGCGCAAATCTACGATCCACTGGGACTCATCGCGCCGGTCATCGTCACGGCAAAGATACTCATCCAGGAATTATGGCTGCTCAAACTTAACTGGGACGATCCACTTCCAGATGACTACAAGGATCGCTGGAAATCATTCAGAGAGTAGCTTCAACACTTGAGCTGCCTCACAATACCACGGTGGCTTCATCACACGCCCAATACAACGGAAATTCAACTTCACGGATTTGCGGACGAATCAAACTTGGCGATGGGCGCATCGGTTTATCTTCGAACTTCATCAAAGATAACGGGAACGACTGTCACTCTAGTTTGTGCCAAGACTAAAGTGGCACCACTCAAGAAACAAACCATACCACAACTGGAATTGACGGCAGCGGTTGTGGTTACTGGTCTCGTGGCTTACGTCAAACGTATACTGGACCTGGACAACGTCGAGATCTACTTATGGAGCGACTCATCGGTAGCCATCACATGGATCAACGGGGAAGCATCTCGATGGAAAGATTTCGTGCAGAACAGAGTTCTTAAAATACGGAATACTCTGCCTTCTGCAACATGGAGACATATCAACGGAAAGGAGAATCCAGCGGACTGCGCATCAAGGGGTCTATCACCAAAACAACTGGCGGAGCACCATCTATGGTGGACAGGACCACGATGGCTTGTCCTGTCACCAGACAATTGGCTAGCATCATCTATGGACTTAGCATCAACGACGGAAGTATCATCAGGGGCGGCTAAGGAAGCAAGACCGCCTATTATCAGCTCACATCCAGTGCAAATCGCTAAGAGAGATGCACTGATCATCACATACTCATCACTAACAAAGCTTTTACGGATTACAGCTTGGGTAAATCGAGCCGCTAAGCGCTTCCAAGGGCAGCAACTACCGGATTCTCCACAACCGGAACCACAAGAACTCGACGATGCAAGGCTGTATTGGGTGAGGCACACTTTACCGCGATACTTCGAGGCGGAAATCAATCAACTGAAAACGGGAAACTCACTGGCAGCAAATCATCGTATGGCAACGCTGACGCCATATTTGGAAAACGACGTCATGCGCATGGGCGGATGTCTCCGAAAATCAACGTTAGATCCGGAGGAGAAAAATCCAATAATTCTCCCTCGTCATTCACCACTTTCATCGCTCTTTACGGCCTTAATTTTATCCGGATTTGGCTTTACTCCGTCTTGACTTATTATATGCCCTAGATAAGCGACTTCTTTTTTTAAAAATTTGCATTTATCTGGTTGCAATTTCAAATTTACTTCACGTAGTCGTTCAACTAATTTCATAAAGTTTTCTCTATGTTCTCTCAGTGATTTTGCGTAAATAACTACATCGTGTAAATAAACGAATATTTCTTGACCTTGTAATCCCATTAAAGTTTGGTCCATAAGTCGCTGGAAGGTTGCCGGGGCGTTTTTCAGTCCAAAGGGCATACGATTATATTCATAATGCCCATGAGGAGTCGAAAAAGCTGTTTTTTCTTTATCTCCCTCTTCCATGGGGATTTGATAAAACCCTGAAGCGAGGTCGAATACCGAGAAGTATCTGGCACCTCCCAATTGATCAAGAATTTCCGTTATTTGTGGTAATGGGTACGCGTCCCCGATGGTTTTTTCATTCAACGAATGGAAATCTATAACAAGTCGCCATTTTCTATTACCTTTAGAGTCCCTTTTCTTTTCAACTACCCATAGTGGAGAATTATATGGCGATTTAGAGGGGGATATTATGCCTGATTTTAACATGTCGTTTACCTGACGGTTAATTTATTCTTTGTGAATGGGCGGGAATCTATATTGTTTTGTATTGATGGGAATCGAATCTGTAGTTACTATTTTATGAGTCATTGTATGGGTACATCCCAGAGGCTCGTCAGGTATATGAAAAACATCTTGGGTTTCGGCTATCAAGGAATGAATTTCTTCTCGTTCCTCATCATTAAGGTCTGTTAATCTGAGCAAGCCTTTTAATTTTTCCCAACGCTCTGGTTCGTTAGTTTTGGTCAGGTGAGATATACGATAAGCCATTTGACTATTATTTATTTCTTCAAAATCTTCCAAAGACACAGGGGCACATTTGATGACTTTCGATTTGGTATCAGCATTAATTGCGCTCAAGAAAATTCTACCATTACGGTTTGACACCAGAGCTTGCCCTATGAATACTTTGTCATTGAGCGGCATTCGGGGAAGATAACCCACCGCTGGGGAGTCATCGGCGACTGACAGGAAAATCATTTTCTTGCGTCTAGGTGGAAGGATAATAATATCTTGGGTATAAAAGGAAAGTTCTCTATCCTTTAATTCAAGTTTCTTTGTGAGGTAATTAATTTTAACGCATTGGGAGGTGAGAAAAGGCGTGCCTATGATTCCGTCTTGTTGAGTTGCCAACTCGTTTCCCACTACTTGAAAACAAACGTTTTGTCCAAACAGGGATAGAGACTGTCCCCAGTGTGAGCAGACCCCTTGAGGCTATTCCGTTAATTTGAATAATTTCAGACGAATCTATTTTATCATCCGGGATTAACGCCAACTGTTTAATTAGATTAATTTCGGCTCCTGTGTCTATCATTAAAGTGAACGGAACTTTATTATTTGGTCTTTTCAAAATTATTGTAGGTGTACTAGACGTATTTATATTGAATATATTGAAATTTCTTCGAGGGGCTGATTGGCTTGGGTGGCGCAATTGGCTGCCTTCTCCTCCATACGCACGCCGGACGTGGAGGGGCGATGCTCGTTTCCCGAATATTGTTGTCGGGTTTCTCTTTCGCGCTGGGCCCTTGCCTCTTGATATTTTCGTTTACGACATTCTTGGATCGAATGACCTCTTTTTTTACAAAACGAACATATTATGGTTTTTGGATAACCGTGCTTTGCCCAGCAGTTTTCTTCAGTGTCTGGTTTTTTTGCAAAATTCGCAAAATTTTTCTTCTTGGATAGTGTTTATTCTTGGATTTTCAGGTTTTCTAAAATCTTTCCTATTCTTTTGATTGTTATTGTCCCTATTTTGAGGGCAGTGAGAAGTCGGTATATTCCTGTATAACTCGTCTCGCGCCTGTTTTTCTTTTTCGGCTGCAATTGCCTCACGTATTGCGACATCTAAATTCAAACACTTAACAGGATTGACTTTCAAGCCATATTTTAACCCTCGAGTGAAACAACGGATTGTTTCTTGCTCTGTGTCGACCTTAAAACTTCTTTGAGAACCACCGTTTCTAGCATACGCGTTGAAAATACTGAGCATTAATTGACGGGCTCTGTTCCCGTAAACAACAACGCGTTCATGTTTTTCCTGCATCAAACGTCCCAATTTACCCTGCAGTTGAGCGAGTGACTCGATAGGAGCGAACAAATTTTGTAAGAATGTGACTAATTCGTTGACAGAATGAAACTGCCGACCTTGTATAGCATTTTTAGCGGGGCTTTTCAATTTATTCCTTATTAATTTGGTTAAATTGGGTTCCATATTTGAATCCACCATATTTTTTGCTTCTTCGCATCCCTCGGAAAATTCCGAAAAACATGAAGGGTCACCTTCGAATTCGGGAATGGCGGAGAGTGCATCCTGCAATGTAACAGTAGTACCTTGCATGATGGCGTAAGAAATTGGGGCGAAACCCATAGGGCGAAATGGATCAGGTAGTGTACCTGCCCTTGAAGGTTGGCCTGTGCTGATTTTTACATGGTCTTTAAAAAAGGGGCCCGTGTACTGGGGCATAAATGACAGGGGTTTCCCCACTACGTCATTGGGTGCACTTGTATAGGGATTTATTGTTATGGGAGTTTTTATAGGAAAAAGAGTGTCTTCTTGGTTTCGGTCTGCAAATCTCGAATTTTGGACCATATGTACTTTTGGAGGGGTTTTTAATGTATAACTGGATTGGAATGATCGGGCAGTATGAAAAGCTTGAGTATTCATATTACTCAGTCGGGTTTGGTCTAGGTTCACAGGAGCATACGAACTAGAGTCGCTGCCTGCTGAATCTATTCTTTCAAAGTCTTCTTGAATTTCCAACGACCTTTTTTGTCTCGATTGAGAATTACTGGGAGTTTTCCTTGCATTGGTACTTGATGATTTTTCAACATAATTTATGACAGGGGTTGTTTCTTCGCTGGCGATCATTTGAGTAATAATAGGGCTGAAGGGCAGAGGGTTTCTGAGTGTTGACTTGAACCGCTGAACGGGTTCAAGAATAGATGGGAGATTCGGATTTAAAGTTGCGATTGGGCTTGGAATGCGTGTCAACCCTTGAACGGTTTCCGAAGTCAGTGAAACGTTCGGGTTTGAAGTTGGAATGTAATCTGCTGATTGCAAGGATTCAGGAAGTGTCGGAAAA